CGTATTTGTCGCGCTGCTGATGACGTCAGGTACGCGCTTTAATCGGGCGCGCTTTAGTGGACCGCGGTTTTGTCGTGCCACAAAAAGAAATATTAAAGCCTTTTTCTAATTCATCAGAAACATTTGCAACTGCCTTCTCTAAGAAAGTAATTCAAATATAGTTCAAGCATGTATAATTTAAATCACAGGCCACGTATCCCATCCCTTGCCTGCCCAGCCCCCCCCCAAAGACCTCCAAAGTTCTGCCAGCTTATCATTGTTAATAGGGTAAAATGATACGCTTATTATATGTAGAGAAAGAAATGTTGAGAATGATTTAATCGGATGACTTACTGAGAACCCAGAATAATCATAATAACTAGATTATCTGTGTTTATCCTTTAATACTTCTAAAACTAATTCTGGAGATGAAAGCTAAGCGTTCTCTTGAAATCCCTTTTCAAGTATTTCTTCCATATTGCCATTTCAGAGTGTGCTCTGCATTATAGATTCAACGATGCAGAAATATGCATCGAAACATCAACGATGGCATCATACGTATGATTGCACTGAGGTGGGCACTATACTTTGGGGAAATCAAACGTGTGCAATCAGTGCTAAAATATAACCAAAACACTCTTGAGTCAACCTCAAATTCAGATCACATGAAAACGGTAGACAGAGGTGGTATGGGACTCCCTACTGGGAGCTTTATTATAAAGCAGCAGCATTAACATGGATCAGGGACTGGATTAATTTAAAAAAATAAAAGAGTATTAACACGAGAGGGCCACGATTTGCAAACGGGATGGCATTTCTTCTTATGGGAGGAGGGAAAAAAGAAAGAAAAATATTTTCATAGACACCATATTAGAGATGCACTGATACAGGTCTGGAATAAAATTAGGGAAAAACACTACATGAAAATACTGACATGGCTTTCCACTACGGAAGCCAGGACACATCCGAATACACTAGATCTATCTAAAATTGTTAAATACAGAGAAATTTTAGACATTCAGAGGAATCTGAAAACAAATCAGGAATTAAAGGAGCAAAATATAAATATAGATTGGTGGCCATATCTTCAATTAAAATCGAGGTACAAAAAAAGATGTGAAAGAATATGGAATCTATACAGAATTACAACAAATAGATATAATTTTAACAGGCCCGGAAGATAAATTGATAATAAAAATGTACACATATTTATTAGAAGTAACATTGGAAGAAGAAGTAGTTAAAGGTTGCATGATAGTGTGAGCCAAAAATTTTGGACACAATATAGAGCTAGTGGATTAGGAAAGAATTTGCAACACAAATTATAAATTAACAAGATCAGTAGCATGCAAAGAAAACATGTACAAAATGTTCTATCGTTGGCATTTACCACCAATGAGATTGGCCAAAATGTATCTGAATATGAATCCAACCTGCTGGAAGTGCAAAAAAACGCAGGGGACTTTCTATCATATATGGTGGACTTGTCCAGAAACTCAAAAGTATTGGATTAAAATTTGGAAATGGATACAAAAAATTACAGAGGAACAAACAGAATATAAACCGGAACTCTTTCTGCTGGCAATAATAACCAAGGGGAACTATAGAAAGAAAATTAAATACATACTAATACACCTGTTGACTCCAGCCAGAGCAACGTTTGTCCAATGTTGGAAACAAAGTAATATTCCCCCAGATGAATTAGTGATTTAGAAAATTCTAGATTGCGCAGAAATGGACACGTTAACATTAAGATTAAAGGACAAAGAGGAGTCTGAATACTATGAAATTGGGGCTAATTGGTATAAATGGTTGCATAAGAGGAATAAAGTTAATTCATCCAAGAAACAATAGAGAAATGTATAGAACTGTGGATGAACGTATATAAATATAGAAATGATATAAGATTGATATATAGAGGTATGATGACACAACAATGTTAATGTGATAATTGTAAGATGTTATAGAGGGGGAAAACAGCAAAAATTTGATCAATAAAAAAGAAAACTGTAGACAGAATTGGAAATGATGGCTCAGGATATATAACTAAGACAATGTGCTCCTACTATACACAGAAAGAGGGAAATATTCTGTACCTCCCCAATCTGGTGCCCTTCAATGTCTTACTTGTACAGCTTTCACCTACAAGATTATGGGAAGTGTAGGCAAACACATCCAGACGACAAAAGCTGGTGAAATATCCATCCTTCCTAACTTCCTTCTAAACAGAAGGGCAGCTAACTACTCTTCTTTTGAAAAAGAGATCTGGATCATTTTATAGGTAGTCCTTAACTTTTGTCACTTGTCAATTGTGGGGCCCACAATTGAGCCCCACATTTTTTGTTGCTGAGCAAGACAATTATTAACTGAGTTTTGTCCCGTTTTACGACCTTTCTTGTTGCAGTTGTTAAGTGAATCACTGCAGTTGTTAAGTTAGTAAAACGGTTGCTAAGTGAATCTGGCTTCGCCGTGGACTTCGCTTGTCAGGTCTCGAAAGGTGACCGTGTGATCACGGCACATTGCGACGGTCATAAATATGAGTCAGTTGCCAAACATCCGAATTTTGATCACGTGACCCCGGCGATGCTGGCATGGTGGTGTGAAAAATAGTCGTAAGTCGCCTTTCTGCATTGCTGTTGTAACTCTGAACGGTCCCTAAATGAATTGTTGTAAGTCGAAGACTTCCTAGCTGAGATGCTAAAATGTAAGTCTCTGCCCGCATAGTTCTAAAGGTGGGATGGAAACATTAATACGTGTGAAAGCTGGAAATAAAAGGATTTTTACTGTAATCGGCTTCCTTTCCTAAATGCGATTAAGCGTCTCGTCTTACCTCTGCTGGCAGGTAGGAAAGGAAAGGAATGTCGATCTTTTCACACTGCGTGGTGAAATCTCTGTAGAGAGGATTAGACGACTTTTTGGGGTAGAAAATGGTCGGCTCGTATTCCTGGAACAGAAAACAAGAGATGACTGCAGGTAAGCATCAAGGGCAATCACTTCCCTCATTATAACCACAGCTAATGTGATTGTGTTTAATCCCAGAAATCCTTCAAATTAAAATTCAAGAAGCAGGACATGGAAGGGAACATAGGTGAGGGAATAATGAAAGAAGAGTTACAAACTGTTATTGGGAAATTCCTCATGAGATTTTCCTGATGAATTATGAGGCGAATTAACTGGGTAGCATTTCAAAGCAGCTTTGTAAGAAATCCTGGACATTATGCTCAGTCCAGGAGTTGAAACGTCTAAGAAATTTAGGATATTTTCAAGGTTCAGGATGCTATCGTTTTCAGCAGTCCTCTGTAAGGGTACCCAAATTATAAAACATAATGAGTCAGAATTCTGTCCTTGAGACACCATAAAAATTTCAGTTAAGTTTGGCAAAAGTTTGTACAAATGTATTTGACCATGTCTATTCAAACATGGAACGGTGAGAAACTGGATTGACAGATTTCAAATATCAAAGACATTTAGTGCTCCCAAAAAAGAAATTCATTCTCTCTAGGTTGTCTGAAAGAGATATAATACCGTATATACTCAAAGTATAAGCCGAGTTTTTCAGCCCACTTTTTGGGCTGAAAAAAGCCGCCTC